GGAAGCCGCCGCCGCCGCCGCCGCCGCCACCGCCCGATGCCATGTTCTTTCTCTGTACTTACCATTTATGCGTCTCTCTCTCTTCCTCCAGACTCTTTTCGTATCCGTAATGATTTTTGACTTTTTTGAATTACATGTATTTATATATGTGTTTATATGTGTTGTAAAAAGAACATTTTTTTTACAGAAGAGTATAAAAATATGTTTTAGCAATTTGTGTTTTGGATGGCGGGGAAAAAGAATAAAAAAATATAATTCGTATATCATATTTAGTTATTTTATTCATGGTTATCTGACCACCAATTAAATAATTTGAATACATTTTGTAATGCGCAATTAGTATAGTGATATCCGCATCGCATAGTATTATCAGTGTCCAGATTGTTTAGAGAATCTACGTTTTCGTAATCAGCATCCAGAGTCTCGATGTACACGCGCTCATCGTCCAGAAGCAAATTCCACAGTCCACAGCCATTGTCGTTTTTCGTGTCCCTTGACATATACGACAGCATCGCTGTCATCGTCTTCTTCTTCCGTTCCATGCACAGCCTTTGTAATCAAACTCTTAGCTTTGGTGTATGGAATCGTTCCGTCGTCCCATCGCAGTCTATGGTGATGACGTATCACCCAATGTGCGCGAGACTTGTCGGCACTTGCGAGGAAATGCCATGGTATAGGGCTTGCAAAAATATAGTGAGAGAGAACGGTCCGTTTTCTGAGAGCGGCAAACTCCTTTACAACAAACTGTCCTCCAACGAGAAAACCTTGCAGGTCTACGAACGTTGGCACGACCATGACGAGCAATTTTTCGAGACTGCGGTCGATTGCGATGTATCGTAGATTTTATTGTCTCTCTCTCATGTGCCAGCGATGCTCTTAGGTGATCTTGCGTACAACATTGGTCAACGGATTGTAGTGAACCACGCGATCGTGTATAATGAGGCAGTATGCGGTGGTATTCATCAGTACGTTCTCCTTAGTCTCAAATTCCAATCTCACGTCCACGGTTGCGCTCTTGACCGATTCGTTTTGTCGAGAACAATCGATGATTACGAATGGACCGTTATGTAGAAAAGACGTGACGGTGAGACTCGGCTCGAGATACTCGTATCCGTAGTAACCCTTGCAAAAACGCGCGTACGTTTCA